TGGGTGAATACACCAACATGCTATGAAGAAGATACTTTGGTTAGTATCTTTTTATATTTATTTAAGTTATGATTATAAAATTTTAAATAAGTGATTTTATTGTACATAATGCATTTTATGTGTTACATGTGCAGGAAATTCCAGTAGCCTTTGGTAATCTGATCATGTCAATATGCGGACTGAAATTCAAATGCGATTTGGAGATAGAAGATGGGATTCTGTCGTCGAAATTTGTTCCCGATTGAATGGAAACATTCATAGTAGGATAATGAGTGGAATTTCGCAAGTGATTGCAGATGGTCAGTTAGAATATGGGAAAATCGGAATTGTATTTTTGCAGAGCAATGATCCGATTGTGCTTGAGATTATGTTTCTTTAGATGTTGATTTAGTGATAGGTTATTGTAATGCTTGAGAAATGGGGCTGTAATAATAAATGAAGATTCGAGATCTTCTACAATGTAATGTTTTTTATGATAATAATCTATGCAGAGGGTTATTTTGAGCTCCCTAATTAACTTAATCTGTGAAATCAGTTTTATTCAAATATCATTATTTATGTTCTACATTTGTTGAAGATTTGTGAATAATAATTTATACTACTGTTAAACAGATTTGTCCTCTTATTGCATTATGTTTGTTGTTTTAGCTTTTATCATGCCATTAAAACTTTTACAGCATATCAACTCTTATTTATTTTTATTTTTTTTAACAATTTCACATGGCTACAGGTTTATAAGATGTTGACACTTTAATGACATACTGAATTTGGCAGAATTGGTAATTTGTGTAATTGAACCGTGTCGTAAGTTTTCACTTTAAAAATCAATCAATGTAAGCAAATCTGATTCAATTACAGTAGTTGCTAATTTGTAAAGGTAGAAGAAGTGGAATTTTTAATATAGCTTTATAAAATAGCTAATGGCATCTTGTTTATTAGTTGAATGTAATTAAAATGTAACTTTTTTATTGTTTTCTTTTATATGTTATATGTATAGTACTCAAGGTACAAAGTTGGATTCTATAAGTAATCACTGTTTTTTACTTTTATTTTTGTGTTGCCTATAAGATGGTTATGTTTAGTTATTTATTTATTATATATAGAGGTGCAATATGCTTGGAAATTTTAGCCTAGTTGTTGTCGTAGAATTCCCGAGCTAGGAATAATGGTATTGGATCTAAAGGTTTCTATATCTTCTAAATTAGGTTTATATTTATTTATGTTTGTTGTATTTAATTGGAATTTATTTTTGGTTTTAGGATTGATATTATCCCTTAATAGAGTGGGTTTTAAAAGTGGAAGAAGAACATCTAGTAGTTGCGGTATAATTCTACTTTTTAAGAGATGAATGATAGAAGAATATTTATTTCTTAGACTTGTTTACAGCTGCTGATTGTTTGTTTTTGTATATGAGATTCCCTCTTTGTTTTATCATATTTTAGCACATCGGTGTAGAGGCTTTCGAATTTATCGGGGCAATAATGGAGTCTCATGGAACATAGTTATTTATAAAACTAGCATTGACAATCAGATTATTGGTATGTATATTGATGCAGGGTGGAAGGAATTTATGTCAGATAATGATATCGTAGTAGGAGATATTTTGGTAATCTATTTTATGAGTGATTTTGTTTTTCACTCTAAAATTTATACTTGTGATGGAGTGGAGAAGACTCATGTAAACATCCCCTACTGCTGTTACTATTCCTATTCGAAGAAGGCTTCCCCTTACTATTGGGCAAATGGATGCACATTTAACTCAAATGCAGGCAGAATGTCCTGAACCATCGTTTAAGTATGTATTTGATCGTCAATCTATTCAGCAAGGCATAATTATAAGTACTGTGTTGATTTTTAAGTTTGTTGAGAGTATTTTGTGCTTAAAAAGTATGACATTCTTATTTATTTGTGCAGCTTGTTCCTGTGCCTTTTTCTAGGGTTCATTTTCATGATATGGATTCGTGTATTATGGCTTTATTATGCCATAGAAAGAAACAGTGGCATGTTGAGCTTCAGTTAATGAAGGAGAACAATTTGATTACTTATAGTTTATTGAAGAACGGTGTAAATTGGTTCTATGAAGACCAGGCTATTGTTGATGGAGTTGGGGCCATAATTGTTTATCGACATGGGAACCCTATTTTGTTTGATTTGATGCTTGGACCAGTTTAGGCATTGATGTATCTATTTTATATAGTATTTTACTCCCGTCCCTTGGTCATAATTAGTAGTGTTTTTGGCTCTTTAGAGCCACTTTTATTACTAATTGGTGTTTTCTAGTGTTTTCGTAGATTTGGTTGACTTTTGCAGGGATTTATATTTTTGGAGTATTTTCCCGAGATATTTTGGACCAATCACGAACATTGGAGAAGCACGACCAGATTTTATAGCCCAGGGCCGGTTAGAGCCATCGAACCGGTGATTAAGGGCTCGGTATAGGTGATACTGGGGCATTTGGACCGAGTATTCAAGACCGGAAGAAGAAAACCAGATTGGCCCGAAGAATTGGAGCCCAATCATAGTCCAAATAGTGGCCCAAGTGAGCCGCCCGGCCAAAGAGGCTGGCGCCCGGAGGCGCGCCCAGCCGGGCGGGAGAAGCTAAGGTTGGCGCCCGGTGAAGCGCCCAGCCAGGCGCGAGATTAGTATTAAGGATAAAAAGGCGTGCCCGATCGGGCGGTGCCTCGCCCGATCGGGCGCGTGTATTTATTAGTTGACGATTAGAGTCGTTTTAGTTTGTTTTAGTTTAGGATTTATACGGAGTATAAATACTCCTCCATAATACGATTTTAGGGGTTCTCTTTCCTCTCTCTCTTTTTACTCTTTCTTTTACTCTCTTAATTGTTCTCTTAGATTTCTTTCTCCTAAACCTTTGTTCTTAATTCTACTCTTAACTCCAGCTTTATTTTGGTAACGATTTCTCTTCTCTTAATCTTAGTTGTTTATTTTATTCCTTTAATCATGTTTTACTTTATTGCTTTGATTAGTTTAGTTTTTAATATGTGTGAGTAGTTTTAATTCTAGGGTTTAAGGGGATCCATAAATAATATGAAGGGGTAATTTGTTGTTGTTGATTGATTTAATGCTCTGTGACTAGATTAGGCCTATCTTTTATGCATGAGTTTGACAACATTGATTCGAGATTCGAGAGATGAGAGTTGATGTCTAGGTCTAGTTTCAATAGGCAAATTAATTTATAAATGGTTAAGTCGAGATTCGAGAGATGAGATTTAATACCGGTAAATTAATTGTGTGATTGTAATACGTAGCGAAAGCCCTTTACAATCTGGTTAATTGATGCATTGATGATTGACTATTATTGGTTCTTGATATTGCATGATAATGTCTTATTGAATTGTTTTAACGCTTTACAATTACGGCTTGTAAAAGTATAGCAATACTGAATTGATGAATCGAGCAGATGTTAATTCGATATTAAAGGCTATTTTCAATAGGAACTTAGATCTAGTAAATTGCGAGAGCCTGTTAGATCTATGTTGATTAATAAATTGCGAGAGCCTATTAATCATGTTATTTATGCAATGTCAATGATTGATTACTATGTTTTACCCTGGAGTATTATTTATTGGTGAACCTATGCCCTAGATCCTTTTATATATTGTTTTCTCCCTATTCTCAATCTTAGTAGTTTAGTTTCTTATTCAAATATAAATATTGGTTACTTCATAATCTAGTTTATTTTAGTTAATTAGGAATAGAAAGACTTGTTTCCCTGTGGAGATCGACCCTACTTCCCTATCTGCTTTAGTTAGAGGACTTAGGAATTATTTTTGATTAGGGGATACGACTTTACCCTGTCAGGCATTTAGGTTTAATATGTTTATTTAGGATGTAAAATATCTAATAATTTTCTAATGTTAATGGCTTCTCTTTATCCGTTGTTTTGACTTATTATATAAAAAGTTCTTTGATTGAATGTGAAAGTTAAAAGTTTTAATATATTTTGAGATTCCTTTTGTGTTCTTTGTAGCTTTTGTATTTTATATCTTGAGCAGGATAATATCATGAAGGTAAAATGTATATGAATAGCAATACATTTCTACATTTTCTAATAGATTTATTATAAATATTTTCATATATATATATATATATATATATATATATATATATATATATAAATGTACATATTAGCACAGCAGTACATAATAACATAATTTAAGTTGGGTGTTTGCCTGGAACACTTACTATTGTTAGTGTTCCTGGGAAAACCCTCAAAATATATTTGTCTGCAGCATCTAATTCCTATATACATGAGATTCTAGACATAAAGCAGAGATTTAATTTTATGCGATGCTGGAGTTCTACATAAGATATTTGGGCAACTATGTGTTGTACTGATAAATATTTTTATACGCAGTCTCAACAGAAGCAAAATGTTAATAGCTGCCCATATACTTATAGCCAAGCAAAAGGTTTAATATTCAAAAGAGGTGCAGATAGTGCACCTTAGGTAGATGATGTTCAATGCTTCAGTAATTTACTACATATTTCTTTAGTCTTTGAACTACTAAGTCTCCTTGGTTGAAGTGTCTGATGGTGTTTTCTTCACCTTCTCTGTCTTCACTATCACAGGTGTGTCTAGCTTTTGTTGAGGCTGCGGAATCTGAAGTACATCATCGATACCTTCTTTTCCTAGAGAAATTCCAGGGTTTTGACCTCTGGTGTGCTTTTTCTGGGTCATTCCTCCAAAGCAAAGTTTTTTCTTGGCACCGGTTTGTGATGTCTGCAGTTCCAAATCGGTTTCCTGATCTCCGGATTCCGTAGGGCTTTTCCCTAATGACTTTTTGCGCTTAAGAGTTTCAGCACTTTCCTGAGGTGATGTAGCTATTTCAGTGTAAATGCTTCCCTCAGTTTGTTCCTCTGAAGATTTCTTCATTTTTGGAGTTGGAATAAATGGCTCAGATGGCCAGATACAATGGTATTTTATGAATGCTTCTCCATTGAATCTTTTCCTTGATCAAAATTGGTTACAGTGTCTTGAATGTTCTGTTCTATGTCAAGACTTTCTTTGAGCTCAATTGTTTTAAGAGTCCACTCTAGCACATTATTTTGACCTAAGTGTTGAGTAGGCCCTACTTTAATATAGAATGGAGTGCTGCTCAACATGTCTTGAATAGCTCTGAAAGCGTCTTGATCATCCTGTATTGATATTTTAGAATGGTTAGTAACAGAATGTACTCAAAATAGTATTCTTTTTCTTCTTTCTATTTTCTGTTCTTGTTTTTTTTTCCCTTTTTATTCTGGTTCATCTATAAAGTTTTGATGCACAAATTTGTTTTGTATCAAAATCATTATAATCGATTAATGTATGGTTTAATTGGTTTAAGAATATGTTTATTTTGAATTATAATTAGTGTGAATCTTATGTTCTGGTGCAGTAGTTGTAAGTTATAGTGCATGTGTAAGTTTGACTAAAAGATTCAACTCACCGCTTCTTTTATGGCGTAGATTGTAGCTGCTGTTTTTCTGAACAACCTTTCTGTGTCATCATTGAATGTTGTGAAGGCCATTGTTCCTGTGTCATCTCTAGCTTCAAATTTGAAAGTTATCCTGATATAATTTTAAATAATATCTGTTAGTAGTAGCAGCTAGAAATGAAGCTCGATGTAAATGTTTGCTAATATTATACCTCTCAGTACTGATGCATTCCTTATTTGAACATGCAGCACAAGAATAGCGTTTCTGCAAAGGAAGGTTGGTGCGTTTCCAGCAGTTTGAACATCCAGTATAAGCATTCACCTTTTCTAGTTCTGCGTTTTCAATGGTTACTTCGATCCAGAGGACTTCTTCTTGTAAGGTGTTGCTAGGCTACATTTACAATATAATTGATGATGGTTTTGGTAGTGTCACAATATTAGATTAACTGTGAAGTTATTGAAATAGATTATAGTGCATGAATTTTTACCTTTTTCTGCTTGAGTTCAGCAATGGATAGTATTTTCCTGTTTTCACTTGGATATCTGATTTCTAATACCCTTGCTTGTCTATCCACTACCCTTTGATAGAAAAGGTTAGCCCTTGCAAAATAGTAGTAGCAAAGAAGAAAAGATTAGGCTTGGTAAAATAGTAGTAGTAAAGAAGATTATTTATGTATAGAGCAGTTTTTTTAATAGGTTTAGTTTAAGAAATTACCAGTCAGACAGAACAGTTGCTCGATTTCCCTTTGGTTCATATACTATTCGAGTGGACATACCAGAATTCATTGAAAAGCCTATTTGCAGCATACAGTAGTTAATTATTGATAGCAATGAATCATTTACGTAGCTAAACTATAATAATTATTGTCTTACCGCGGCGAGTATTTGGCTTCAGAGCCCTGAAACCAATAACCTTAAATGTTTCTGCCCAATTTGATAGCTTATCAAAATATTTTGGATCTGTAAGGTCATTCCACATTGAGATGGTAAGTGGTTGATCACAGCTGTTACAAAAACATGTATTTGATAAGGACTCTAATATACAGCTTTTATAAAGAAATGTATATGGTGTTTACTCCTAAACAATTAGTTTAATGAGAATGAACCTTTCATCAGTGATTACTATTTCGCGGACCAAGCTCTCTCACTTTCCCTCCCTGGGTTCAATTTTTCTTGGTTCTTCTTCTACAAATAATACGACACCCACTACACCTGCCATTTACAAAAAATTCTATTAGTGGTTCTATTTTTTATTTCTAAAAGCACATTGTTAATTTAGAATATTATACCGTATTTTTCATCAGGATCTATTGCACGAGGTATACTTGCTAGTGGCTTATAGTCAGGTAGAACTGGTCCAAGTTCTGGATGAATAGGCTGAATAACAGTTCTACTACCAAAAGTCATTTGGTAAGGAAACTGATCGATCTCAGTTCTCCATTTTTCATCTATGAACCTAATTGGTGCAGCAGAAATGTCGTATTCTCCTATATATTGTAATGCATCTTCAAAAGCTTCAATTTGATCACCAAATAAAGTACCACGCATCCTATTACCCTACAATATGCATAACATTAAACAATTTCAATGTGCACATTTCTGATAATACAATGGTAGGTCGAAGGTGGTAAGTATATATACCCTAATTTTAAGTAAGGAGAATAAAATCTGTTATTTTTTCCGTCTAAGGTAGTGTTAATTTTGCGAGGCAATGTCTGTACTTGTAAACAATAAAGTGATAAAAAGATTGTTTGTAAAGATTCTAACACTATTAATTCATGATTATCATCATTGTAAGAAGAAGTCTTTAACAAGATGCTTATAATTAATTTCTGTTTTTTTTCTTGTATCATCAGTACCTATTTATTTTCTATTTAAAAAAAACCTTGCTTGAAGATGTTTGAAATATAGCATGAAATATATTATGGGCTGTAAAATTCTAATTATGCATGCAGATGTATTTTTGTTTTAATTATAATATTCAACTATTTAAATGACTTAAACAGAATTAAGTTGCTTTATAGTATTTCTAAGTAATTTACTATACAGTTCATAATTTTTTTTATATAGGTTAGATTACAGCTAGTCATGCTTTAAAATATAAATAATGTAACAATATGAATCTTTTTTACAGTAAATTCTTTCAATTTCAATATGAAAATTGCAGATCTAGGATACAATGATATCTAAAGCAATAAATATATACCTTTTCATCTTTAAGAAGTAAAGTTTGGAATCAAGCTGTTTTTTTGGAAGATAGTATGTCCCTTCCCTTCTCAGCAACAACCACTCTTACTATATAAGCTTTGCTTGCTGCATTTAATTGATTCAAGTACACATATTCTGGCTTTTGTCTGACTGCTTTGTATTTGTGTTCTGTTGAAATAAATGTTTCCAGAGAAATTTGTTTAGAACTAACAGGTAATGTAAGTGTATAATTTTAGAACAAACAATAGTTAGTCTAAATAGAAAATCATATTTCAAAGAATTTCAGTTAGAAAAAAAGGCAACAAGCTAATAAAAATATAAAGCAGACAACAATTTGACATAAAGAACTATACCTTCCATGGCTAATGTGCTTGCTGTAAGTTTGATCTTTTGAGTGAAAAAAACGAATGTTAGGATTGCATTTAGTTTGACATTACTTAGGACAGAATATAAGAATAAAAATGCAAAACAGTGATGCAAATAATCAGCAGACTAAGGAAAAGCTTTTTTTTCAACTTTACTGTTTACACTGTGCAACCCATACTTGTGAAAAAGAAGTGCAACCCATACCTTTAAGGTACTCTATGTACCTGAAATAATTTTTAAAACCTTGTAGAAAGTAATTTTTCATTTAAATAATAGAGTAATGGTAGATATATTTTTTTTATGCAGTACATATGAATTTATCACAGCCACAATCAGGCAAAAGAATGGGGAACAATATTGCTATTTTAAGGAATTGGATTTTATACATTGGTAAAAGCTAAAATCGAATTACAGATATTGCATAGGTTTTAACAATTTCTTATCTTTTTTATTTTTGAAAAAGAAAAAAAGTCATACAAGTCATTTTAATATTCTGATTTTTAAGTATAATACATATAACTTACAAAAATTTGAAAAAGCATACTGTTTTTTTTTTTTTTGTTTGTTTTAACTTAAACCTAAACAATTTGTTGCTTTGGCCACATCTAATATTTGCCAAATACATGTTTTTGTCTTCATTAAATGCTACCTGAAATATTAATGAAATGAATTTTCAGCATAAAGACAATTTCAAATTCTACTTAGTGCATATAAGATATGTAATTTACCTTAATAAAGTCATGTCTTGGTATGTGCTTTTTATAGGTGGCTTCCTAATAAGGCAGAAACGTAACTTCATCTCCAAAAGTTGTTTTCTGCATCATAAAAACGATAAACTACCAATTAAATTATCAACTGACTACGAATAAGTAATGTAATGAAAATTGATATATAATAAGAGCTGAACTTACTTATTCTAGCTACTGCGTAGTAATCTAAAGTACTCCTGCCAATTTTAGCACGGTATAGGAGACAATGTTTTTAACATAGTTCTTTGGACATTGGCCAATAGGAGCAACTGATATAACTTTCACTTTGCTGGCTGACCGTGCTCGTGATAGAGCAACATACAATTGACCATGTGAGAAACATGATCGAGGGAGATAAATTAACACTTGATCTAAGGTCTGCCCTTGTGACTTGTTAATGGTCATTGCAAAGCTTAGTTTGATTGGAAATTGGCTTCTTTGAAACTGAAAAGGATACTTCTGGGAACTTGATGGCCTGAGTTTAATTCTTGGTATAAAAACATGCTCTCCTTGATGTTGGCCAATGGAAATGACACACTCAATTAAATTAGGAAAAAAACGCTTGCATATAAGGCGTGTTCCATTGCATAGACCAGAAGAAGGCAAAAGGTTTCTGAGCAATATTACTAGGCAGTTTTCTTTTAACACAAGGTTGTGAGGACTGAGTCCTCCTTGGCACAATTTATTTAGAAATTCTGTAGGATATACACTGCCAGTATCATCCAAAATACTATCATAGCTTGTATAAGTTACAGCTTGTCCCGGGAATCTTTCAATCATGAAAGAATTGATGTTATCAACATCTTCATTTATCGGTGTCAAAACAGCTCTTCTAGAAAAGATTTGATGATCTAAAGCACTTGAATCAAGCTCTGGAAAAGAATGCTCAAGCACCAGAAGCATTGGATTATCATCAGGCTCAAAAGTATACACTATCTGCGCTGGTAACTCAACAAAGTCACTTTCTTTATTTTGCATTTCACCATTTCCTAATGCAAGTAAAAACTGAGAAAATGAAGGATCTTCTCTAGGTCTTAAGTTTTCTGTTAACCTGAATCTTCTCAAGTGGTGCCATATATGAGAACTGACAACGCTTGCTTCAACTGCTTCTTTCTGAGTCTTATTAGGAACAACGGGCAACAGTTGTCAGAAGTCTCCACCAAAAACAATTACTTTCCAACCAAACAAAACATCATTATCACATATATCCCGTAAGAGAAGGTCTAGAGACTCTATATTCTGTTTGTTAGCCATTGATGCTTCGTCCCATATTATAAGAGTTGTTTCTTGTATCAATGCAGCCAGGCTACTTTGCTTAGAAACACTACATGCCAATGAATCATCACTATCTACCGGAATTTTAAATCTCGAATGTGCTGTTCTGCCAGATGGAATATTTGCAGCCGCTATTCCAGATGTAGCTGTTGGCAAAACAATTTTATTCATAATACGGATCTCAGCATACAACGCATTATATAGGAATGTTTTACCCGTTCCACCAGGACCATCTACAAAGAAGGCCCCTGGTTTTCCTTCGACAATATGCTTCATTATAGAAGTAAATATTTCCCTTTGTGCTGAATTTAATAAGCTGCAACAGTCTATGCATGCTTGAGGAATTGCAGCATCCAATGCGTTCAGAATATCTTTTTTTATATCTATTTCTGTATCATTGTTGTTTATTAAAACATCTAGACCACACTCACCTAACGATTTCCCCATGGCCTCTAGATGTTGCTCCACTGACCTGACTGTTAGTTTCTTAATTTTTCTTTCTGCACCAGAATACTTTCTTGCTAAATCTTCTGACAATGCAAAATAGTACTTGTACCATAATTTTTCAGCATTGCTCGGTTGACAAAATATGAGAACAGTTGCAAATAAACGACGCAAGGCCACCGGTAGCTGAATTTCAGTAGGTTTAGCTAAACAAATACTTGCAGCATCATCTTTTTCCAGAATACCCGCTGCAAGACAAGCTTCTTTGAAACGTGCATACACATAACCTTTAACTATACGAAGATCTGGAAAAGACTTTGGACTGTTCACATGTAACAGGAGCAATCGAAGGTAAAAGCGCTCACCTTCAGAAGGGGCCACAAAAGCTAATCGGCCAATCATTGGCTTTTTAGACTGTCGCTTATACCATGCTTTTTTAGAGGCATACCACTTGTAGTGCTCTGGAAATTCCCCGTATAAGTATCTTAACCCATTCTCAGTAGCTGCATTCATACGAAAGAACTCTGTTAAAGGAGTCTTAGCATACGCACCACTTGCAATGCCAACATCTAAACGTTCATAGGGGCGTACACAAACTGTGTTCATGTCTGAAATATGAACAGAAAGAGGCAAGATCGGTGGATACATCTCAAATAAATCAAACCCAAAAATTCTCCAGGCTGCTTCACAAGGTGAGACCCATCTTCCTGACTGAAATTGAGCAATTTCATCACCACAATTTGCATCCTCAGCTGACACGTTAAAGGCCCCCTGATCATGTCCCTTGTAAACATATTTATAAAGATACTTTACTGCTTTTATAGTTGAACATACTTCGACATTTAGATGACAGTCAAAGAGAGTTGTGAGATAAGGATTATATGGCACAACCCATCGGTTTTCTAATTGAGCATTTCTGACCTTCACTTTTTCTCCAGTATCTGTTCTTTGATAACAAGGATTACCATCCTTATTTGTCGTAGTCTGTGCAGTGTATTGCTTCGGATACCCATTTTTACAAGAAATGACATTGTCTCTCTTTCCATACAAGGGTACTCTGGATTTATCTCGCCACATGGTCCATGCATCATATGCCTTAAAACAATTGCACGTAATTCAGGCTGAGTCACAGGAGGTATCTCTGCACAAACATACTTGTCATAATCAGCAGGACACTTCATCTTATATTGCTGCTGCAAAATCAACAGGAAATGAGCATGTGGCAATCCTCTCTTCTGAAACTCTACAACATATATCATTGCTGCCACTTCACCGAAGACCTTGTCTTTCTTGATTTTTTTTTTAGAGTAATCAACTTTGTTCGGAAAATTCGAGAACTAAATCTGGTCGATCTTGTGCAGTCTCACCAAGCTCTAATTCCGCTTTTATTTCTGCCCAATTAGCCTTACATGTCATGGTGACAAAGAGATCAGGCTTCCCATACTTCTGCACAAGGGCCATTGTATTTAAGTATCTCCTTTTCATATCATGAGGCCCTCCAATAAAAGATGGTGGCAAAATGAACTTATGTCCAACATTGGCTGCACTTGTCTCTCCACTTTGTACAGTGTCAAGAATACCTTTGTAGAGATCATCTCTTATTGTATCCTGATTTTGTCGGAAAAAATCTAATCTTGTGTTTTCAACTTTGATGTACTTATCTGTTATATATTGCAAAAATGCACGACTTGCTCTTAAAAGCATGTTTCCTACTCTAATCTGCAGCTTATAAGCATAATATTCTCTAGCAGAGATATATCTATCAGCTTTTGTTTTTCTTCTACGAGCTCTTACAAACATTAACAGAGATAAATAACTAAGAGGCACCATATATATAAAAAACAACGGTTATAAAATAAATTGCACGATACATCAGAAAGTTGCAAGTATTTACGAGTTTCTTCTGCATCAAGAAAATCTTCCGTGATGTGCACCGCACATGATTGAATAGGATCAAGTTCACTTGCTATTTGTCTGTCTCCACCATGAGAGATTTTCTTTAAACCCTGATTCCATCCACATTCGCCTTTAGGAAATAGCAAAGGGTACTGTAAAGGGTCATAGCACCCATAATAATGGGCAATGCGATGCGACTTTGCAGATTTTGCCGTCACAAGAATGTGTGGCCATGAACTATGACTTGATGAAACACTATCAGGCCAAATGACAGCAACTTCAACTGATATAGGAGCGTTGTACACTCTCTGATCTGGAACAGTGTTTGAATTAATTATGATATTAGTAGTTTCATTGACATTTACTTCTTTCAAAGATCGAAAAAATCTAGCATATGGATTATTCTCAGTTACTCGCATCAATATGTCAATAACATCTTGTCTTAACTCAGAGAAACAGTTTATTCTATGTTCAAGTTCAATTTGACCATCATAAAAATATAATTGCAAATATTTCGGGCCATTTTCATCAGGTAATAAATCTGGCACAGAGTGATATATTTGGCCATGTAATTTAAAAACATATATGCCTTTGTAAGTTTCTCTATCAGTTTTACCACCAATTGAACTAAATGCAAATAAGTTATTGTACAATCTAGCGTATTTTCTAAAATTCACTGCATCTTCATCTTTTGCAGTAAAAAGTCTTACTAATTCAGGAGGATATTCATTAGCAACAATGCTAATATCACCATTATCGCAACAAAAATGTAAAGATTCGAAGGAGAATTTCTTCGCCCCACATTCATTACAATAAGTAGGTGGAGATAATAGCAGTGGTTGTGTAGGCATTGGCTTTCCTATAGTGGCTGCTAGTATTTCTGTCATATATTACAAAAGAAAATCTAAGGAATTTCTAATTTGTAAAATCACATACATGTATATGACTTTTATGAACTGAAATTACACTGTGATATAGCTTTTGCTGCATTTCTAAGCTGTTTAGAAGTTTGTGCAGCTGCTGATGGAACTCTAGCAGTCACAAATTTATCTGTAACAGAGCATCCCAAAAATGAAGGCAGACTATAAATCACCTAAAAGCACATCTACAGATTGAATATAAACTTAAATCGAGAGAAAATATTTACTTGGAATCACAGAATATTTTGAAGGTCTTGATCTAGGCTTTTTAGATTTGGATTGTTCTCCTTTGCTGCGGGGAAAAACAAACAATTTACAGGCTTCTTTGACAAGGATAAAAAATCACCATATAAAATTACTCATTCTACCTAATGCAATCACCCGTAGATAATACACTTCTTGTTCTCTTTGATTTCCATCTCTGAGTTGATGGTCTTTTAAAATTATCTCAGCTATAAAAAAACATATAGAACAATGGATCAGTAACTTGATTTTCATATAATATAATACATCATCATAGCAATTAGTATAAATACCAAAATCCATCTCTAATAACATATCATTTATATAGCTCACCCATATAATGTTGCTGCAGTCAAAGCTAGTTCAACAACCTGCAACACGTATCAACTATATCTCTTTGTACCTGATTAAAAATAACTATGCATTACTAACAATACATGTAGTTTAATATGTAATAGAGTTATTAAAGCACTCATACTGCCATACTACTATCTCCCGTGATTCTAATCGTATTCTGTAACACTCTGTTACCTTTTTTTTATTCATCACACTAATATATATTATAAATAATTGTATTTAGGTGCCTAATTCTATTGCCTAATCCCATAGTCACACCACATTTAAAATTTTTCACATTCCAAAATTCTTTTTAATTAAAGATTTCTCTTCCACACTACTAAGAAAGCAATACCCCAAGAAGAATCCAAGAACAGTAGGCTACTATAAGTATATATCATTTCTCTAATTACAACACTGATACAAGCACACCCAAAAATCTAAAAACATTGTTTAAATGAAAAAATAAACAATCAATGACCAAGTTATAAGATTTTCCTGAATAATTATATTCAAAATAGAATTACATTACATTATATTGAAAATACGCATTACAATGTATTTCAGCTCAACATACAAGGATAGTTTGTTGCTGAAATACTTCTACAAGCACTACAAACAGACCTAACTTAAAAACCAAAAGAAGAAATAACATCCTAGATAATAACAGGCATTTGTCCATAGTAAACCTAGATCAGGTAATTCAATAAAGGTCATGCCGTCCAAAATATTAGATGAAGACTACAAACAAGCTAAACAAACTTTGCACGCTTCCAAACAGTCTCTAATTCAGGTATCCCATAAACCAAAGGCTCAGTGCGAGAAGAAGATGCAGCACTTAATGGTGTTGTTGAGCGTCTTCTGATTGGAGCAGCTGGAGGCAAACTAATCTTGGGTATCTGATTTCTTTTAGAATTAGGAGTCAAACATTCATCATCAGCAAACATTTCTTCCCTCGCAGCTAAGCACCTCTTTAATTGATAAAATCTTTCTTTTAAAGCACTACAAGCAGCGCTCTTCTCCAAAGAAACACCGTAATTAGCATCAACAATTTCTAGGTTGTATCTAGTCACCAAGTAATGTATAGCTCTCTTAGCAGCCTTCTGCATAGCACTATTTATTTCAGGACAAGCATCACTATATATGCACTCCAATTCACCTCTACTATGCAGACAAGTCACTGTTAACCAAGCTACAAAGCCCAAGCCTTTCACCCAAATAGTCTCTAATGGACTTACATCTGCACCTGTTTGTGTAACAATAACACCTAAGAAACCTACAAAGTCAATCGTTACATGAAGAACTTCATCAGAAGATTTCTTGCCTAAATTGCTCTGTGAATTAGCTAGGCACTTCTAATCCTTTCTCAGAACATAACTCAGCAACCTTATGTTTATAAAGCTTGCTGCATAGCTGATACATTCTTGCTCTATCAGAGGTAAAATCACTCACTCGCACCCCAAAATGGCTCATCAATTTCTGCACAGCTTTTTGAGCTGCCCTTTCTTGTGACTCATGAACTGCATTGGCTTCCCCACCAAAGAACACAAATTCAGATTTGCCATTCTCAGTCTTAACACGAACACAGGCATTGTTCCTAGCCTTGTCTATGAAATCATAAACAGGTTCAGAAAAATCAACCATTTGACCTAAAAGAGGTCGAAATGGAATGGCAATTCTGTTGGACTGAATAGCCATAACCTGTAACCGGCAAAAATAAAATTAAACAAACAAACATATCCTCTAAACTAAAACAACTATTAAACTATAACAGCTAGCATAACATATTTAAAAAAACTCAAGCATTATATTAATTCTAATCCAAATTTTACTAAATATACTTACCAATAATAGAAGTAAGTAATTGTAACAGCACAAATAGCTCCAGTTGCAAAAACCTACAATTTTTTATTATAATACATTTTTTTCCCCCACAACCCCAAAACAAAAAACAAAAACAAAAACAAAAAAAAAAAAAAAAACAAACCCCCACATAAAAAAAAAAAAAAACACAGAAAATGAAGATGTTAGCTAGCTGACTAAATCCAAAATAGCACAAAGATATTAAGGTAAGGAAAAATAGAGCCAACAGTCCATCAATGAAAAACTGTAAACTATTTAAGTAATGTAGAACTGCAAGTTTAGTAATCTCAGATCTACTATAGTTCCGGTAAGTTTAAGCAATACTGTATTTCATAAATCATTAAGCCAGTATTCATTTCTGTCTGTACAATTCCACCATTATTAGAAAAATACATATTCATAGAACCAACCTTTACAGTGACAGGATAATAAGGAGAGGAAGAAACTAAAAATAAACCACACTAAAGGCAAGATACAATATATATATACATACATTATTTAATTATATATTATTATTATCAAAAAAGAAAAAATAAATTAAAGGACATATCCAGCATATCTTAACCATCTAAAAAATCTACACCACATAAAAGGACACATTCTACATATTTTATTTAGAGAAAAACATATGCCATATAAATTATTCCAATTTGAAGATTGAATTTTAAAACTGACCAAATGAAAGGACAAAGAGTACACATTTCATCAATTTTAAAATTCATCCCACACTATGCTTCAACAGTGTAAATTACTAACCCACTTTTGCATATTAACAATGAATTAATTGCCTAATTAATTTGTTAAATCACACAATTCACACTGTTACTCATCAAACACAACAATAACTAAAATAATTTTCAATAACAAGCAAAGTAATAATTAGACAAACCTCACACTGTGAAACAACCAAATCCAAAGCTGCGACCAAAGAAACTCCATCAAACCACTCCATGAATAACAGCTGCAAAAACCAAAGAAGTTATAAGGAAAACAACAACAACAAAAAAAGGAAAGAAAAAAAAGCCTAAAGCAAAGACAATACCTAACAAAGAACGAAAGGAAGAAGATTAAAATGAAATGAAGAAGATGAAAGGCAAAGATGCTAATAGCAGGGGAGACAAGGACACGCGTCAGCCGACATATGACAGATAGCATGCTAATACACAAAGACTAAAATAGCCCTGGAAATTTAGGCAATCCAGTTCAGGGGCTAAGGGCAAGGGCGTCAATCCGTTGTTCCTAAGGAACAATAAAACTCACTACAGTCCTGGTGCTTGGGACTTTTTAAGGGGTAAAGATTTCATTTCAGTTCAGTTCAGCTCTTAATTTTCCCCTCTCATAAAATATTCAGTTCAGCTCCAATCAGTTCAGTTCAGTTCAACTCAGTTCAGTAAATGTGAACAGAACCTAAAACACGGAGGGAGTAACTAAAAAATGTGATTTATAAAAAAAGAATCCATAAAGAAAGAATCCATGAGGTGGTAGTGAGTACACTAGCCTCTCTTTACTCTCTTCTCAATCTAAAACCCTAGTCTTCATTGTTGAATTTTGGAGGGGCTTCCATTGATTTTTATCGGTGGAAAGCCCCAATTGTTTGTTTTTGTGTGCTTTTTATATTGTTTTAGGTTTATAATAATTCTTCCTCTTCTAGGAGGAATATTTCTCACTCGAAAGACAGGGTTTTTTTTTTCTTTAGGAAGATTTAGGTTTATAATAATTCTTCCTTTTCAATTGTTTTAGGTTACTAATAAATCTTCCTTTTCTATTGTTTTAGGAAGAATTGGCTCCTTTGAAAGACCGGGTTTTTTTCTCTCTTTTGAGGGAGGATTTGCTTTTTTATTTTATGGATTGCTATAGAGTTGTTTCATGGATAAAATTTTGTGCGAGATCGAAAAAGAGGTAAATATTTCAATTACAATTTAGCGAATCAGACGGAAATTTTCTGCACGGCTACAACAAATCGATAGACCCCCTCGCCAATGAAAGGTATAAATCATAACGATATGAAAGAGGGTATGAAGAATGTACAATTTGCAACAACGATCGTAGCTTTGCTTACGGAATGTTTTTATTTGATTCGATTATTATGTATTTATTAGATCCGAATCTCTTTGTAAATGTCGTATGAATTTATTTATGAATCAATTTTATTTCAAAAAAAAAAAAACCATTTGGTAGTGTGTTACGCTCCCGCCCGCGAAAACACACCGTTTCTTTTCCCGCCAATACGAAAAAAGACCCATTTCTCCATAAAAACTTTTGCTTCTTCCACTAAAATCAATTTCCAAAATTCAACCCTCCATTTTCAGACTTTTTTCGCCATTTTCTCCCTTCTGCTAAATTAACCTACTGAGAACCATCAATGGACGACGATTTGCATTTTCTCGATCAAAATAAACTCCCTGAACTTAAGCTCGGTAAAACCCTAATTCTGTTTTTGTTCTTCCCCTTTTTTTAAAATTGTTTTACATTCTTAATTTTCTGGGTTTTGTACTGTGTAATATATGCTATTTTGATTTTTAATTGAATGATTTCTGAATGAATTATTTCACTTGATGTAATTTTTTATATCAATTTTAGATGCAAAGCAGGCTCAAGGGTTTCTATCATTTTTCAAAACCCTACCTCAGGTGAGCCTTATTTTGTCTAATTATTTCGATTTCTTCTAAATTATGTATTTTTTTTAGTGTTTTTATGAAGGTTAATCTGTTTTGCTTCCAGGATTCTCGAGCTGTTCGGTTTTTTGATCGTCGGGTTAGTTCTATGTTTTTACTATCTCCAGAATTGTTAGGGTTTTACACTGATTGTCACTAGTTTGTGCTATTTTAGGTTTTCCATAAAGAATATAGGTGTTATTATTATTCATTTGATTATTTTTACTCCTTGTACATTATTTTTTTTTTAGTAAGATGATCCTTATGACTTTTGAACACAATCAAACTCATTATAACCCAATTGCAAAAATTCCCAATTTCACTTAAATGGCCGTTATAGAAATGCCGATTAAGTATTGTTTTTTCGTTGATTGTTGGTGACTTAGTTATCTAACAACAGATTTGAGTGCAAACTAACGACATTCTCAATTATCATCTTTTGTATAATTGGTCCTTCACTTAATGGTTTCGATTTTAGTCATAATAAGTGGGGTTTCTAATTATCAGTTAGTCATTGAATCTATTCTTTATAAATTATCAAGGGATACTTATTTATTTAGTCGAAGTGCTTTGTGTTCTACAAAATTTAGACGGATACTTATTTCAAGTGCTGATTTTTCCAAAACTTCTATCTAAAGCTGTGAAGGAAAAATATTCAAGCTGTATTTCCTGTATACTCTTGCAAAGTCTGGGATCATAATTAGAGCAAAATCCATCCTTACACACCATTATGCTTTTAACAGTGCTTGCATTTTGGATGTAGGAACTTGTAGATGCATTTACCTCTACCTTGCTTGGTCATGCATGTAAAGTAAATAGTATTAAATGATAAGCATGTTAAATTTGTAATCCGTGAACATTAAAAGCATGACCCTCTCATCTTTGCTTCATACACCAATACTCCTGAAGTTGATTTTCATTCTTAAAGTCTTTTTTTTTTTCTTGGTACATTGTAAATGACTGTTAGGATTGGTCTATTATCAACCTTGGACTAAGAAATTCTGCACTTGAAACAGGATTATTTTACTGCCCATGGAGAAAATGCAGCTTTTGTCGCAAAAACTTATTACCACACTACCACTGCCCTTAGACAATTAGGTAATGGTTCTGATAGCTTATCCAGCGTAACTGTAAGTAAAAGCATGTTCGAAACAATTGCTCGTGATTTACTCTTAGAAAGGACAGACCGCACAATTGAGCTTTATGAGGGTAGTGGCTCTAACTGTAGGCTTGTGAAGAGTGGGAGTCCAGGAAACTTAGGAAGTTTTGAAGACATTCTATTTGCAAATAATGAAATGCAAGATTCTCCTGCAACTGTTGCATTGTTACCGAACTTCAGGGAAAATGGTTGTACTATTGGATTGGGTTACATTGACCTTACCAAGAGAGTGGTTGGTTTGGCTGAATTTCTTGATGATAGCCAATTCACAAATGTGGAATCAGCTCTGGTAGGGCTTGGTTGCAGAGAATGCCTTCTCCCAGTGGATGTTGCGAAGTCTACTGAAGGAAGGGGGTTGCTTGATGCATTATCAAGATGTGGTGTGATGGTAACTGAAAGGAAAAAAAATGAGTTCAAGGCAAGGGATTTGGTGCCAGATCTTGGAAGGCTTGTAAAAGGTTCGATTGAGCCTGTTCGTGATCTAGTTTCAGGACTTGAAATTGCTCCTGCTGCTTTGGAAGCCTTATTATCTTATGCAGAAATGCTTTCAGATGAAACCAATTATGGAAATTTTACTATTAAGCCGTATAATCTTGACAGTTGCATGAGGTTAGACTCTGCTGCTATGAGAGCATTAAATGTTATGGAGAGCAAAAATGATGCTAACAAAAATTTTAGCTTATTTGGTCTGATGAATAGAACCTGTACTGCCGGAATGGGAAAACGATTGCTTCACATGTGGCTGAAACAGCCTTTATTGGATGTTAATGAAATAAATGATCGGCTGAACTTGGTACAAGCTTTTGTGGAGGATATAGAACTTTGTCAGGAGCTTAGACAACATCTAAAAAGAATATCTGATATAGATAGATTAACACGCAATCTTCAGAAGAAAAAAGCTGGTTTACATCATGTTGTAAAACTTTATCAGGTTGGCAAATTCTTATTTTATTTTCATTGTCTTGCAATATTTGTTGGCACAGTTCATTACTTTTATTTGAACATTTTAACTTTTGCTTGTTTTGTATTTAAATTATTAAAATTTAACATCATTGTATTGAAAGAGCCTAAAATTTGTTTAGATTAGATTACTGCTATTTGTAATTTATGAGGGCCTTTTTCATTTATATTTATACTTGCAATTCCTATAATTGCTTTCTTGCATATAGATCTTTGTATTTATATGTCTTTTTGTTTGTGCTTTCCAGTCAAGCATAAGACTTCCATACATAAAAAGTGCTCTTGAGAAATATGAAGGGCAATTCTCCCCCCTGATCAAGGAAAGGTTTTTCGAGCCCCTTGGAATATGTAGTGATGATGATCACCTAAACAAGTTTGTGGCCCTTGTTGAGACTTCTGTTGACCTTGATCAACTTGAGAATGGTGAATATATGATCTCATCTGGTTATGATTCAAGGCTTCTTGAACTGAAAGAGGAACAAGAGTCACTTGAGAGCAATATAGATAGTCTTCATAAAAAAGCTGCTGATGATCTTGATCTCACTGATAAAGTTCTAAAGCTAGAAAAGGGTACACAATTTGGACATGTATTTAGGATAACAAAGAAGGAGGAACCAAAAATTAGAAAAAAGCTTACTACACAGTTTATTGTACTAGAAACACGAAAGGATGGTGTCAAATTTACAAATTCAAAACTCAAAAAATTAGGGGATCAGTATCAAAGGATACTTGAAGAGTACAAAAATTGCCAAAAGGAACTAGTACAGCGAGTGGTTCAGACTGCCGCTACATTTTCTGAGGTATGGCATGATCTATTTATCTGTTTTCCTCTTTCTTAGGATAGATCTATGCATTAAAGATGTTTTGAATATGCAGGTATTTGAGTCTTTAGCCGCATTGCTAGCTGAACTCGATGTTTTGCTTGGTTTTGCTGACTTGGCTACAAGCTGTCCTACTCCCTATACTAGGCCAGACATAACTCCATCAGTAAGCGTGCATTCATTTTTTTTTTTTTTTTTTTTGTGATGTTTAGAAAGTGTAGGAGCAATTCATTATGCTTTTTTCATGTTGGCTACCACAGGATGTTGGAGATATTATATTAGAAGGAAGTAGACACCCCTGTGTTGAGGCACAAGATTGGGTGAATTTCATACCAAATGACTGTAAACTTGTGAGTGTTGTTCTTGCCAGTCTGCTAGTTTAAGTTATGAAGCATATGTTTAGCTAATGTATTAAATTTCCTTATGTAACAGGTCAGAGGACAAAGCTGGTTCCAAATCATCACTGGGCCGAATATGGGTGGAAAGTCCACTTTCATTAGACAGGTGATCATGATTTTGCAGGCTGATTGATTCTTACAACTTTATTACTTCTATATAGTGTCCACCTGTACAATACAGCTTTGAAAAAGTAAATTGATACTCTTGTTTTTTAAGGCAAGTAAATTGGTACTTCTACACAAGTTTAGATCCTGTCAATTCTCAAGTTTTCATGAATTTCATATTTTTTTTTTCTTTTTTTTTTTTTCCTTTTTTTTCCCTTTCCTGTATTGCCTAATGAATGTCACTTGGTTTCTCTTGGAATTTGAAACTTTTTCAGTTGATTGTGATATTATGTCTCTGAGCTCAGGTGTTGATCTTTTATTTTATTATATATATTTGCTTCAGGTTGGTGTAAATATTTTAATGGCACAAGTGGGATCATTTGTTCCTTGTGACAGAGCCACCATTTCTGTTCGTGATTGCATATTTGCTCGTGTTGGTGCTGGCGATTGTCAAGTGAGTTTTATACGAGTTTAAATTATATGCATTTTATCATCCAGAATGTTGGGAGTACTTGAATTATATAGTTTATAGTTTATTGTACTTGAAACACGAAAGGATGAGTTTAAATTATATGAAACAAAGGATAGCACTTAAAGTTTACTTGCTCACATTAGTCCCATGACTGAATGTCTTTGTGTTCTGAAATGTCAAAGTTAATACTTTCTCCCTTCACTCCATGTTATTTACCACTAAACTAATTTCTTTTATATCTCAGCTTTTAGTTATTTTATATATCAGTGGAGTATGAATTGTCTGTTCCAAATACAAACTTTCTAACTAACAGCACCTTAATCTGACTTAACTGGCGTATAGACTAATGTTGTATAATAGGTTCATCCCTTTCCCCACCTACCCTCGCTGCCTTCTCTTCCAAACAACCATTTGGAACATGTGAATTGGTAACATGGTGTATTATACACTGGTAAACTAGTGGACTTGTCTAACAAAGCTAGATTGTGAACAATGTCCTTAACATGTTCCATGTACTAGAACATAGCGCACTCTTGGTAATTCTGGCATAACCTTTTAAGACACTTAATTTTGAATGAACAATCATAAATATTAAAATTTCCTTTTTGTCATAATTGTTTCAGTTTGACAAGAATAAATGAAATACTTTGTCAGAAAGAACAAAAATACAAAATCAATCAATATTGTGGAAGAAATAAATCTCGATGTAAAGACATCTTGTGGGAATGAGTCTAAGTGAAACTGGAACATTCATGTGTTTGGAAAGAGGAAAAACAATGCAATGCACGCCAATATGTAGTGTTGGACCATTAATTTAGGGCAAATAGCAGAAGATAAAGTGTTTTAATGCCATGCCGGACATCGTAATCTTATTCTCTTCTTTCTTTTAGTTGCGAGGAGTGTCCACTTTTATGCAAGAAATGCTTGAGACAGCATCAATTTTGAAGGGAGCCACTGACAAGTCCCTGATAATTATTGATGAGCTGGGCCGAGGGACATCTACTTATGATGGATTTGGTTAGTCTTATCTATTTGTGATTCATTTTATCATGATAAAGTTTATATTGCATATTGTTGATAGATTTGCTTGATCTTATTTTGTGCATTTTGATCTCACCAACCATATCACTAAGCCAATGTTTTGTAACTTGATAGGTTTGTATGTGGAATGCTTCTTTCACAGCTTGCACACCTGTAAACTAGTAATTGTTAATTTTGTCATAAAAACTGGTGTAGTTAATTTTCACAGTACTTGCTTGCAGAAAAAAATTGGCTGTAAATTGCTGCGGTTCTAGATCTGCTGAATTTCAGCATGATTTTGCTGTGAAATTATGTGAGGGGGAGGGGCATGTTAAGTAGACTAATATACTTTAGTTAGTAGTGTCTTGAAGAGGAAGATAAGTGAGTTTGATAGAGTGTTACTATAAAAAAGAGAAGGATTGCCATGTTGACTATAGTGATGAGTGATTAACTGTGATGAGTTATTAGTTTGTAGCTTTGGGAGAGTGCCATTCCTCTCGAAAGATTGGCAAGGCTGCATCTAGCTTATTCACAGTCATCTTTTTTCCCTCGATGCATCACTTTTATTCAAAAGTCCTCTGTTTTGATGCTTAAGTCAATGAATTCATTACAAGACTACAGATGTTAGTGAATAGGTTGCGGATTGGGAGTTCCCTATGAGGCCATGATGTTGCATGGATGACTTTGAATGATAGAGATACATGATTGCTGTAGTATGATTTTCTCTTTTTAACCAGTTCACTTTTTGCCTTTGTAATATGATAGAATGTTGTTTGCAATCTTTTTTGTTTTTGTTTTTTTTTTTTTTGAGGCCTGGGGGGTTACACTTTTGTGTAATGTTCCCTCCTGCCAGTTGTAATTCTAGACTCTAGACCAGGCTCTTGGCAGTTTGCATAATTGATTCTTCATTCTGGCAGGAAAATTGGAGAAGAGTAAAGAAAATTGAATTCTTAATTTATGATTCTTTGTTTATGAGCTTGGTAGGCCATAATTTGTACTCCCTTCGTCCCTTAATACAATGCTTCTTTCTCTTTATTATGTGAGGAATAAATGCTCAAAAGAGGCATTGTATTAAGGGACGGAGGGAGTAGTTATGAAGTATTCCTGAGTTATTTTGTTTTTCCTCTGTATCTTCTAAAATATTATACAAATTATGTGTTGTAAATACAATTATAATTGATTGTTAAACAGCAATCAGATATTCTAGCTTTTAAACCAATGCTCGTGGTTGTTTTCTTATCTTTTGGATCTTTACCCAGTCACAGTCACATATCATTCTCAATCGCTGAACTCTACACTTATCTTGCTCTATGAGCCAACTTGAGCAGATATATGCTGTGTCATTTGAACATAATTATTTTGCTTGTGCAGGCCTAGCTTGGGCAATTTGTGAGCACATTGTTGATGTCATCAAGGCACCTACTTTGTTTGCTACCCACTTCCATGAACTCACAGCATTAGCACATGATAACAGAGAGGGTGAACCTTCAAATAAAAAGATTATTGGTGTAGCAAATTACCATGTTAGTGCACACATAGATTCTTCAAGTCGTAAGCTGACCATGCTCTACAAGGTATTGCTCTATTGTTTTGCCTTTGTTCATTGTTCTATTTTGATTTCCCGTGTGTTGTTATTTTCACTATCACTGTAAATATATTGACTCAAATTGTGTTTGAATTGGTATTAATAAAATTAAAATGCCTATTTTTTTGTAGTTCATTTCAAATTTTCAACTATAAGTTTGTCATTAGTCTATTACTTATTTATTTTAAATGACATGAACTCAGAGCCATATATTTCATCTTTTGCTATCATCAGGTTGAACCAGGGGCTTGTGATCAAAGTTTTGGCATTCATGTTGCTGAATTTGCCAATTTTCCTGAATCGGTTGTATCCCTAGCAAGAGAAAAGGCTGCTGAGCTGGAAGACTTCTCCCCTGCCACAATAAATGCTGTTGATCTTTCGAAACAGGTTGAGTATAAAAATTTCTCAGTTTTCTTCACAATTAAAATTATTGTCTTAATCAACAAATGAGTCAATCTCCTTCGTTATTCCTTACATGAAAATCATTTGTTTCTTTATGACGATATACAGAACATTTGGTTAATCTTCCTTCTTTTGACTAGTAACGACCATGCATGAATTCAAAAACACTAAATTATGAAGAATGTGTATTGTTCACATGGAAAATAAAAGTTGTTCATTCTCCAACAATGAAGTTATTTGAACATGAGAAGATTCAAGTAATTCTATGATATAGAGAGATATAGATCATAAAGACAATGTACAAATTGAAAATTTGGAGATACAAGGGAGAAGACGTGGAAAATCAAAAGTTTGAGATGCCGAAGACATAAAGAGTGTTTGACATTCTGGGTTTGTGGATTGAAATAATTTGTAGTTAGAGGAAGATTTACGAGGTTCTATATTATATTAATTGGGTAGAATATGTAGAAGTGAGAATTTGGAAATAATAGGCAGAAATTGCGAAATATCTAAAGTTTGAGATGCCAAAGAGAAATAAAGTGTTTGAGATTCTGGATTAAAATAATTTATTAGTTAGAGGAAGATTCATGAGGTTTTCTCTATTAAAGTAATTGTGCAAGATATGTCGAAGTTGAGTAGATTGAGTAGATAACTTTGGTCTGATGAGATTTTGGAATGTGTGGGAGATTTATGAATTCGAGGTGTATGCATCAACCAAACACGACCAAGGCACCAAGATATGGTGAAGAAGTGGAGGGAGGAGGTTTGTTAGGATTATATGTGCAGTTTGCAAGTAAAGATTTTGTAATGTTTTTTTTATTTGTAATGTTGAGTTGGTGGAGCATACAACTAAATAAGTAAATATTAGAAATAGGCAATATTTGAGCATGTACATTTAATATATATATTTCAATTATCATTGGATTATTTCTGTGGCGTAGTCTTATGATTTATGTACCACGTGTCTTGAAGTTTACTCGGACATACCAGATAGTGGTCACTTCAAGTATTTCTGTGATGATGTTTGACATTACCCAGTATCTGTTAAAAAAGTATGTTATTCAACTTGTTTGATGCACATTTCAGGCGGGACAAAAACGGAAAAGGGAATTTGATCCCGATGCTGTCTCTCAGGGTGCAGCAAGGGCTCACCAGTTTTTGAAAGAGTTTGCTGAGCTTCCATTAGAACAGATGGATATGAAGCAAGCATTGGATCATGTCAACAAAATGAAGAGTGACTTAGAGAAGGATTCAGAGAACTGTCATTGGTTGAAGCAGTTTCTTTAGTTTTCTCAACTCAGACAGTCACAGCATCTCCAGAATTTTGTTCATATCTGGAAGCTGCATATTAGGATTAGTTGGCGATCTTGGATTAGGAAGCCTAGGTGAACCTATCACACTTTTCCCATCTTTGAAGCATTAAATTCAGCCCAGTCAAGCTAGAAAATGCAGGTTCTTCGAGATGCTCCTATTTTCCTGTTAATAGAGGTGGGTGGGAATATGAGGTGTAATGAGGATAATGAAATGGATATATGTTTCATGATCTTTTGCCTTTGTAGATGATAAGGGTGGCGTAATGAATCTTTAAGTTCCGAAGATGTAAATGATGCAAATACTGTTATGTTGTAAGAAAGGAGTTCATTGATCTACAAGAGTTCCTTGTTTTGTATGTGCATGAAATGAGTACTTATATTATTTTGGTTGAAGTTGTTGAAATGTGGATCCTCAGATAGCGGAACTGGAAGAACTGCTGATTAGTGCTTCCATAATCTTTACTTTGAAACTCTGTAAATACTTAGGTTAAAACAATTAAAAGTAGGGTTTCTAACTCACATAATCTTAACAAAAAGTAATATCAGATTGATATTTTCTGTAATCAACCTTCTAACTGAGGAATTCTTGGACTCTAACTGTTAGAGTCATGGTTGACTCTAAGGGCATAATCGTCCTTTTATTGTGTACCCACTTGTAAAAAAAAAAAAAAAAAAAAAAAAAAAAAAAAAAAAAAAAAAAAAAAAAAAAACTAAGGTTGGGAAAAGGACAACTCATGGTATTAAAGAAATCAAAAAGGGGGAAATGACAGCAGTAAAAAAAAATTCATAACTCATTTTTCTCTCTAAAATTATACCCTCCTCTCTAAGTTTTTGCAAGCTCTATCTCTAAATTGGTTAATTATATCCAACGACTTTCCTATTAAAGACAATCGTTTTCCGGCCAAAATTAAAGCTCAATTCCATACATTACAGCCTACAGGTAACAACTCGTCAAGCTTTGATATCTTTGCAAATTCGGTCCAAATTTCGAACAACCATAGAAGGAAATGGCGAAATGGACTTGGTAATTTAAAAATACAACAAAATACCAACTTCATCATCATTTCATCAAATACTATTGAATTTAACTGTTAATGGCGGCGTTGTTGGATTTGAACATCGCGATTCCGGACTGCAATGATGGTGAAATCCCAATTCTACACTTGATGGTATTCTCCATAATTTTTTATGGTGTTCTTTCAAATACCAACGGTCCTTGATGGTATTTGGTGTTGTTCTTGTTCTATCTTTTGCTGTTGGTGGTACTTTTTACGATACCAACAACTTCTTGATGATATTTTTTTATTTACCAACAATCCTTGTTGGTATTCTCCAACAATTTTTGATGGCATTCTTTTAGATACTAACAACCCTGGATGGTATTCCTTTTTTCAATTTGCCATTGATGGTATTCTTTAGATATTAAGTATAATAACCTTTGATTTTGATTTGTTGGATATATAAATTAGGGAACCTCTGTTTATTCGTCAATACTCAATAGCAATGTTGTAATTAATGTGGTAATTTGCTATGTTCTTCAATTACCCATAAAATTCTAACACTTGCATGGAGAAGAAAGACTTGTCCTTTTCAACTCATTTCCCCGGCCTTACTTTACGTCCTATTCTACTTTACTGTCTTTTTCCTTTTTTTTTTTTTTTCTAAGTGGATACACAGTAAAAGGATGATTATGCCCTTATTAGAGTCCAAGAGTTCCTCCTTCTGACAATAAACTTTGGTTGCAATCTATGAGATTACTATGTTTTACATGATAACATTGGATTTAATAACACTAATTGAGTTTGTACTATAAGTTGGATATGCTTTGCGTCATTGTTAATTTTACTGAATTTCGGTTCATAGAGCAACATAGGATTGTGGACTTGTGGTGGTGCAGCCATGCAGGTGGTCTGTTGGCTGAGTTTAGGCCCCTATTTTCTAAGAAGAAAAAATTGAAGCAAGCTAATAACGACTAAGAACTAAGAAATGAAAAGGGTTGCTTTCAGCCAATATTAGTCCACTTTACAAAAGTCATATCAATTGGTTTTGATTTAGTTAAAAAAAAAAAAAGGCTTCAATCCGTAAAATTAAATTGGCAAAAGTTAGTATCTCCATATTGTAAAAAGTACAATTGAATTACTAAAAATCACTCTAGATCATGTAATAGTATGTCAATTTGTAAAAATAGATCAATTATAATTGTACAACCAAGCCAAATTTTTAATGTTACTTGTTTTTTTTGGAAGAGGTTTAGGGCATGTTCTCATTGACTGAACTAGATTGAAAATGAAATAAACTGAATTGAACTGAACTTATTAGATCTAAACTGAACGGAATTGAATATCTTATGAGAGAAGGAAATTAGGAGATGAATTGAACTGAAATGAAAATAACCTGATGAGAACAAGGCCTTAAGCACGGCAAATGAGTAAAGAAAACGAGTGAGGTTATATCATGTACATTGTACAACATAGAACTAATTATATAATGAATATCATAAAGTTAGCAAAATTCGTTTTTATCATTTTTTTTATTTGACAAATTCTTTAATATTTTTAAGACGTTTATTAAATAGGTTGGTGAAATATTTAGGTTTGGGTGCTGATAAAATGTACTTTAAATCTTGCATTTATATGTTTTTCTATTTTGAGCTTTACAATTGTTAGGCCTACCGTCTATCCGAAATAAAAATTGTAAAACAATAACATTATATTACAAGATTTGATTCCTTGGACAAGATTTGCATAAAAGTATAATACCAAAAACAAAACAAAAAATCAAATAATTCATCCTACCCACTACTCAAAATTGTTAGGCCAAATTCACAAACGAAAAGATTAAAAAATATATATATGAAGTATGTCAACTTCCATGTATTAACTACATATAGGAGTAATAGGACTAAACCAACATTATACTTTTTCATTGAGATTCGTTAATCAAGTTAAAGTGTTACGCATCTATCAAATAATATTTAATAAGATTCCTATACAGTTGAAATTCTCTGGTGGGTTTTGATAATTAGTCGAGTTATGTTTTTAAATCATATTTTTTCATAATAAAAAATAAAGAAATTTTTAGTTTAGAATCAATTTTTACTTATTGAAAATATCTTTTACTATATTCAAGTAAAATTTTAGGTTTCCTTCTGTTTTTTCTATTAGTAGTGTGTGCGGTCTTTGGGTCTTTTTTTTCTTTGTTTGTGTGTGTGGTTTATTTGGGTTTGTTATTTTTTCTTTTTGTGTGGTGCGTTTGTGTGCTATGGGGAGTGCAGATCGGTGTGCCGATCTTCTGGTGCAGGATTTGAGCCGGGTTTTTTGGCTTTGGGCTTTGGTTTGATCTTCTTTTGGTTTGGGCTGAAGGGTTATGCTTCCAAGCCGAAATCCGTGTTTGAATCGGAGATTGTTTTGTCAATGATAAATTGTACGACACCAAATTTGAATTCAGGTCGAGGAGTACAGGCTTCTGAGTCAATTAAGGTTCACGTCAGAAACTACAACTTATTGCCAGACCCCCTTGCAAGAGGCTGCATAGAACAGCGTTATATGAGACAAGGGTATTTCAGGAAGTCGATTTACGCGTGCAATTGTAGTTTATTTTATTTCAAACTTGTAATTGGTTCAATTGTCTTAGTAATGTTCGATTACGATTTCTTATGTAAGTGCCGTATGGCTTATTATTAATGATTTTTAATCTTGCCCCTCAAAAAAAAAATATTCAAGTAATAATTTTGTATTTTAATGATTTCCTAGTGCCCTTAGTAGTTGTTTTATAAGGTTACTTTCGTTGATTAAAACTTATTTTCATTACATAAAATAATTTCACTATATTATACTTCTTTCGTTTCTTTTTAGTTGACATGCTTCTTTAGTCACTATTGTCAATGCGCAATTTTTAGGCATGTTCTGATTTACCAAACTGAGTTGAACTGAATTGTTTATGAGAAAAGGAAATTAGGAACTGAAGTAATCTAAACTAAACTGATTGGAACTGAACTGAACTGAAATTAAGCTGAAGAGAACATACCCTTAACCATTATATCTGTAATTACCCATAAGCAAAAATTATTAAAATTTGATATATTAAAAATATATATCGTGAAGAATCTAATAAGATCTCACATAGTCACATGAATATATTTTTCACTACGTATAAAGTATAAAACACAGTTAAAGGAGATGTATAAATAGTGCTAAAATCAAAACATGTCAATAGGGATGTCAGTGGGGCGGGTCAAGTAAGAGACCCGCAACATCCCCGCCCCAGTAGGGCGGGGATGGCGGGATGGGTCTTGGTTTGGTGGGTGGTGGGACGGGGATGGGGATAAAAATCATACTCACCGTGGGTGATGGGGCGAGGGTGGATTTTACATTGTACCCAAAAATCATACCCACCATGGGTGATGGGGCGGGGGTGGATTTTACATTGTACCCGTCCCATCCCCGCCCCGCTCCACCCGCCCCACTTCGTACCCGCCTTATCCCCACCTCACACCCACTTCTATATATTTTATAAAACAAAATTATATACTTTTATACTATTTTATATATAAAAAAATATGTAAAGTAAAATAGTAGATATAATAATTTGTAATACACTAATTTTATAACTAAAAAAAGTGCGTAATAATATAATAATAATTTTATTTGTTGTAATTTATACGTAGTATTAAATATGTTGGATTGTGTACTGGGAGGTGGAGATTAGGCGGGTCTTAGGTCGGTAGGGATTAAGTGGGGATGGATATCCAAGTAGGGGGTGGGGTGAGGATGGTTTTGGAATTGTACTCGCCGGAGCGGGGATGGGGATGAATTTTGGACCCACCGTGGGGATGGGGACAAGGATGGGGATGAAAATTTTAGATGGGGATGGGAAGGCCAACATCCGCCCCGACCCGCCCCATTGACATCCCTACGTGTCAACTAAAAAATAAAAAAAACGGAGGTAGTAACCTTTTTTTTTCGAGAAAAGGTAGTAACTTCCTTTCAATGAAAAATGTGAATATTATTTTTGTAAGGTGAATATGGTCTAATAAGTATTCTAATTAATTTTTTTATTTTTATTTTTTTATTTTTGAGAATTTGCCTTTTTCTTATTGCAAAGAAACTTATTATTGCTAAAAAAATCAAATATGTTAACTTAATTCTGCTTAAATCTTATTCTCTACACCTTCAAACAATATTCAAGAAAAATTATTTAAGCTTAGAAAATATAACTATATTTTAGAGAAAATATGTTAAGTTTAACAAAAAAAAGCTAAATTTAGTAAATAAAGTTATCATCTTATAAAAATCAATAGATTCAAAGAAAAACATATGATACTATGTAGTGAATAAAAAAAAAAAAACAAAAATAAGTTA